CAGGGCCCTGACTGGCTGAGGCAGGGAGCACTCTGGGATTCAGGGTGTCTTAACACATACTTGTCTGGCTGCTGTGGGCTTGACTGCCATCAGGGACCAAATTCCTAAGAAGCTCTGAACACTGGCTCCTGAGCACTTGCTCCCCGCATTCCCCTCCAGCCCACTCCACCATTCTTGCCTCTCAGCCCTCAAATGCACAACCCTTACCCTTCTCGTAAGCATATGGATCAGACTGAGGATGCATCAAGGGTTCCCTAAGCCCCACTTGCAAAGTAAGATGAGAAAACAGAAGCATTGCTCATAGCAGATGGGGTGGATTTTCAGTCTGCTGGGTGTTGGACTACGTGACCTCTTGAGGTCCCTTTCAGCCTTACCCCTGATTCTGTGATGGGTTGGTGATGCTGAGGGTCCCCCTTCACTGTGGGGCTGTGGGCATGGGTTATGGATTTGGCCAGCCCATGCACCCACACAGTTAATAGCTTGGAGCACCCATGTTAACCCCTTCCTGCTCCCAATGAGAGTGGTGCAAACCTCACTGCACCCCAGCCCCAGGCTGGCTGCAGACTTGGCAGTGCCAACTCAGGAGCTATTTTCCTGACAACATCATAAAAGGTTGCCTTTTAAAAAAATAGATGAGAACAAGCAAGCAGCTCAAGGGAGGTCTGGGCATTGGGCAGGGGTCCAGGCTGGCTACTTCTGAGTCCTGTATGGGCCCCTCCTGCCATCCAGCCAGGGCCCCAGCACCCTTCTGCCAGGTGCTCCTTCCTGTTCAGGCTTGTCTGCTGCCTTAGGCAGGCAGAGGTCATTCCAGTCCCCTGCTGCCCCTCACACACTGCCAGGCCTTTGCTGCCGCCAAGAGGACCTTCATTTTAGGAGATGGGCTGCTTGTTCATACTTTCAGGGCCACCCCATAGTGACAGTGGGCTGGGCTCCCTAGGGCTCATTACGTGGGGTCCAATCATCGCAACTTAGATAGGAGCCTGAATGGGTCAGCTCTGTCCCTGTGTGTGTTGCTGCAGTGCTGGCTGCCCACCCAGCACCAGGGCACTGCTCTGAGGTGCTTTACCATCTTCTCCACACTCAAGGGCTCCTGATCAGGCTGGGCAGCTGTCACCATGGCTGCTCACTCCCTTCTCTCTGACCTCAGAAAGGATCTAAGACTCGGGGGCTGACCTACCACCACTGACTAGTCAGACCCCACACTCCTCCCTCTCCCCAACTGGGCTGGTTCTTGGCCTCCCCTCACCCTGCACTGCCTCCTTTCCTCAGGAGCCCCTGAATTTAGATTTCTCCAGTCTCCCTTCCCCAGAAAGCAGTCACCGTCTCTCCAACCACTCCACTCTTCCCCCAACTCCAACAGTATTTCTGTGAGGGAATTTGAGAGCTAAGGACACTGCTTTGAAGAAAAGCTGTGGCAATGCAGGACACAGAAATAGAACACCAGGTGCCCAGGATCTGGGTCTTAGCCCCAACAAAGAGCCTGAATTATTCATGGCAGGATCAGATGTCTTGCAAACACAGGCTTGGCCACAGCTACTTACTCCCAGCACTACCCTCAGGAGCAAAGCGGGTTTTGAGGACTTCTGGATGCTCTGCACAGCCTTCCCTGCTATGCTTATGCGAAGCTTCCTGCAGAGCACACATTGCCAATCTCCCCTCCATATGCCCTCACCCCCATTCTGTGCTCTAGGAGCAGCAGAAGTCCTGAACCCACCCCCTCCAAATGACCCCCCAGAAGGGGTTGGCTGGCAGGAGCAGCTCCCTGGCTGTCCTTGCCAAAAAGCAGAGTATGACCAAGAAGTCTGGCTCCAGACCAGATTCCCACTGATGTCCTAGCCCCTGCAGAAGGCAGCTGGCCTCCAGCCTTTCTGGTGCAGCTCTGGCCATAGCCTCCAGAAATAATGCAAGCCGGATGTAGTCCTCGCTCCTTTTAGCACTGTTCCTTTAAGCACTGCCCATCCTGTGTTCCTAGGACAGCTACCCTGAGACCACTTCTTCGTTGTGGCAGCTGTCTCTAGTACACCCAAAGCTTGCCTGGGACAGGTGCATTTACCCCTGCCCTCCAGACCCATTTGTGGACAGGGCAGTTCTGGCAGAAAGGAGATGCCCAGGCAGTGGTTCAGAACCCCCTTTATTTTGTAAACATTTGTGTCTAAAATAATGAACTTCGGGGAGGGTCACACAAGGGAGGTGGCAGGCACCGTGAGCACGACGTGCACATACAGCTGGGATGTGGAGCTGCAGCGTGGTTGGTGTCTTGGTGACAAGGCAGACAGCTTCCAGACAGACAATGAGATGACGGGGCTGGGGCAGGGATTCTGGGGGAGGTGGAGTTTCTAACCTCTGCCATCTTTGTGCAAAAGCTTGAGGCATGAAGCCAAGCTCCAGGGTGTCCAAATATTGACAGGTCTTGCTATCTCCCAGCTGGAAGTGCATTAGGGGTGCCCCTCCCCCAGGGCTGGGGGTTTGGAGCTTTCCAAATGCATCACCTGGAGGGCAATGCAGCCTGGCAGGAAGGGAGCATGCACTAAGCTAGGCCCCAAGGCAACTTATCAGCAGGGTTCAAACTGTCCCTCTCACCGCAGCCAGTGTTGACCCCCATCACACACACTTCATGTAGCTGTGGCTCCCTTGCTGGGTCCATGCTGAGATAAGCTAGCAGAGTGAACTGATGCCTCCCCAGCCTTAGGTATCATGAGCCCCCAGCCTAGCTCAGGTCTGATCTCAGGTTTTTTATGCCAAAGGCTGGAGGTGAACATGACTGGACACTTGGAGCCAAGCTGGACTGTGCAGTGTCTGCAGGCAGGGAGGAATCTCATGTAAAAGTATGTGACTGCTGAGGGACCCCCCCAACAACAAGCCCAAAACCTGCCCCCCATCCCCAATGCCAGCTGAAGGATGACTGTTTGCCCCTGCCACACAGGACAAACCAACCGTTTCTTTCTCCACACCTGTTTTGTGCAAGGGCCCCAAGGTCCCACAGCTGCCTTGAGCACACCAAAGTCTGTTAAATGGACGGAGTGGGGTTGGCAAACAGCCCATTGTGTCACATTTCTGTTTGCAGAAAACAAGGCCCTCTTTCCTGCAGGCCTCTCCACCCTCCCTTCTAGCAGCACCACCCTGCACAAGGCCCCTGTACCTGCTGTTTCTTCAGTGGTGCAGGACTTGATGGAACAGCAGCAGTGATTGCAAGCACTAGAGCAGGAAGGGTTAATCAGTGCACTGTGAGTCACACCTCTGCCCTACCAGCCACCCTTGGCAGCCTCCCAGAGCCCCTGCTGCTTACAGGACACAATGCAGAGCTGTGTCAATAGCACTATTGTAGCTGCACACTTATCAGAAAACCCAGGCTCCTTCCTCTTCTGGGAAGCATGGTGCTCAGCTCTGCCACCCACTGCAGCACCTGGGCATGCCCCTCTGCCCCTGCCAGCAAGGGTTCCTCAGATGATGGCACACAGAGCAGCAGCCCAGTGAAGCTCCTGTCCGTGCAGCCTATGCTGCATCACCCTGGGTAGGAGCATGGTCCACAACCCCTCTTGAAGCCCCCAGGGCTGGGCTGGGACCCTCAGGGGCTCCTCTCCACATGTGAGCTGACAGCACCCTGCAAATGAAGCTTCCAGAGAAGTGAACAAAGCAGGCTGTCACACCTCTGCCCCATCACCCACCCCATCCAGCAGTCAGACCCCATGCCTGACTCCCTCCCAGCCCAGGCCAGGCCTGAGAAGAGCTGAGGGAAGTCTCCATGTAGTTTCCATGGACTCTGAGAAGATCTTTGCCTGCCGCAGTCATGACAGGCAGGGGAGCCTGCTGGCAAAGAGGGCACTGGGACAGCCCTTAAGACCTCTCATCACTTGCTGAGCAGGAACAGGCCAAGGGCCTTCCCCACTCTCTCTCTGACCAGCTGAGGAGAAATCATAGCCCAGAGGCCTAAATCCAACCCAGGTACCTGAGGAAAGACGACGTAAACCTAAAGGAGTCGGGCAGCCCCAGCAGGAGCCAGGGCCGATCAGCCCCTCTTGAGATCCCACCATTTTGAGCCAATGGTTCTGGCCTCAGCTTCCACGCTGGAAAAGCTGGGACTTGGGGGGATTGTTGCCAGGGAGCCTCCCTCCTCTGCCCCCATGCAGGGGCCGGTGTCAGCTGCAGCCAGTGGATGTCCAGGGCAGGCCGATGTCTGGGATACCCTGCCAAGGGATGGCAGAGGGACATGAGCTCAGAACCATTCTGCCCAGGTTGTTCCTTAGCCCCATCTCAAATCCATCTCACTGGCAGTGCCTGTGGCTTTACCCTCTGTAGCGAAGCCCACAGGCAACATGAGCACAGCCCATGCTTGCTGGCGCCTCCAGGGGAAGCAGATCCTGAGAGCCTCTGATCCGCCAGGGCAGGCAGAATCATGCCAGGTGGATGGCACATGTGGCATGGCAGGAGGGCACGAAGCATGTCGGTGCTGGGGACACTGGGGGCAGCAGAGACCAGTGACTGGAGGATGCAAGGGCAGGAACGGAGGCAGCCAGCCAGGCCTGGGGCAGGAAGAGGTAACATGGGGGCAGGGTGGGGCTTTTCAACACCAGCAGGTTTTGGGAGAGTTCTCAGCCCCGTCCGGCTTGCGCTCCTCCTCCTCCAGCTCAGCTAAGTTCAGTTCGTCTGCCGCATACGTGCGGAGCCCATCCAGCTCCTTCTTGTGAGCCTGCAGCACCAGCTCCGTCAGCCGAGTGAAGGACTGCAGGAGAGACCACACTATTAGGCAGGCACCTGTGGCACTGGAATACAGTTACCTCTGAGGTGCAGTGCAAAACAGGACCCTAACATGCCTGTGTGGTGCCATGCTGGGATTGTTGTCCCTGACAGAGGCCCAGGAGAGGATGGGTGGGCCAGGGATAAATTGGGAGTGGGAACCACCCCTCACTCATGTCAATACCCCCAGAGTGGAAAGAGTACCTCCTCCTGATCACCAGTGCCATGCCCTACTCCCAGGCCTTTGGAGACAGTTCTCACCCAGCCCTGCAACCCTTCATGGGCCCAGGTTCCTGGCCTCAGAAACCCATGGGGGAGTCTCAGTTTCCCTCCCAAGGCTAATCTGGCTACCATTCTCCTCCTCTGGTTGGCCATACTGCTGGATTGATGGGGGGAGGCAGGGGAGGACTGTCAAGTAGTCAGGGTGCTAGTCCAGGGCTTGAGAGAGCTGAGTTCAATCCTGTGCTCTGCCACAAACTTCCTGTGGAGCCTTGGGCACATTACTTAGCCTCTCCAGTCCTGGTCTGCAGAGAGGGCACAACAGCTCTGCTCTGTCTTAGGGTGAGTGAGGGGCCCCAAAGGCTGTGGTGATGGGCACTAGGCAAGTACTAGATGTGGAGGGATGACCTGGTGAGGAAATGCCTAAGACAGACATCAACTCAAGGGTAGCAGGGTGCTATATTTCCTTAAAGGATGAGATACAGGGGCCTCTTCTTGCAGTGCTGGGCACAAGGAGCCCTAGTGAGGCCTCTGGGCATTCCCAATACACAGGATAAACAGCATCTTTCAGCCAGGAATCACCCCAGAGCCTGCCCCCCACCTCACAGGGTCAGCAGGCACAAACATGGAGCAACTCAGCCAAAGGTGCAGGGAGAGCAGGAGAGAACTCAGGAGTCCTGACTCCTGATCCCCTATGCCCAGGCCCAGCCCTTCCATGTAAGTGGACTTCTCTTCCCAGCAGATGCCCAAGGGAGTTGTGCCCCAGGCTATGCCAAGCCTGGTCATCAGACACTTGAATGCTGGGCCTTTGTATCCCAGGGCTGTGGCCCTACTCCCCCTTCCCTCCTCAGACTGCCCCTTATGACGGAGGGAACACACTCTAGATACTCCCCAGCCAGTTGGGACTCACCAGCCACAAGGCCAAGCTGTCCATGGTGCATGGAATGAGAGTCCCTCTGGCTGGACTTGGGTGCTACAACACAAACAACTGTTCCCCAGAGAGCTCCTTATGTCCATCCATGTGCTCCAAGTGGCCCCTCAGCCACCTTTCCCTTGACCTTAACCCTCAGCTGCCCCGCCCCTTTGACCCGACTGGCCTGGGTAGCAGCTCCCCTGTAAGCTGGATCACAGCAGAAATGTGGGAACAGCTCCGTTCCTGCTTTGGAGAGGGGATTGTGCTGCTCTGAGGTCACATTGGCTTGTTTCTTGGAGTCATCAGGCAAAAAGGTCCCTCCCCCAACACAGAGTGGTCCTTCAGGGGCTCTCACCTCCTTAATGTTTAAGTTGGTGCAGGCACTTGTTTCATAGAAGTCCATGCCGTACTCCTTGGCCAGCTGGAAGGGAATAGTCCTGGAGAGTCAGGAACACCTGAGAAGAAGCCATCTCCTGACCTGCATCCTCCCCTCCACAGGACATAGGCCCTCAGGCAGCTCAGAGACCCCCAGGGGCTTCCCAAGCTCTTTCCAGAGAAAGCTGAACAGCTAGGTAGAAAGGGGAACCCTGGCCTGGGGGTGAGAGCAGAAGACCAGGAGCTGGGACTCCCAAGTTCTCCCCATTAAGTTCTTAACTTTAGCTCAGCTGCTCCCCACAGGCCACAAGGGTGGTACATGCTTCTTAACATGTCTGTAGGAATCCCAGATGTCAGAACCAGGAGCAGATCCAAGGAAGTGTAGTGGTGAGTTTGCACCCCACTATGTAGTGCACAATCAGTAAGCTCTTCACTGCCAGTTGCAGGTGCCCGTGAGCTTTCTGCTGCACCCCCTTTTCAAAATCCTAGTTCTGCTCCTGCTCTGAGCTCCCCTTCTCTTGACTCTGGCCCCAAAGGAAAGGGTTGCAGGCCATACACCCTGACCATCAATGAAGGTTGTGGATTCCTTGTCCCTCAGGCCAGGATGCAGAAGTCTCAGCACATAACACATGCCCACTGCTCAGGACAGCCCCAGGCCACATTACAGGTAGAAAGGGCTGCAGGCTGCTTCCTCAGATAGGTTTTCCCCCTCCTCAGGAGCCAGCTAGACCTTTTCTCCATGTTTGTGGGAGGTTTTTTCAGCTGCCCACATCCACTGGTTTCAGCCTGGCACTGAGAATGTCAGGCAGAGAACAGAGTCATTCCCTGACCAATTCAGTATGGTGTGGCACCCAGACCCCAGCACCCAGTCCCATTCTGCAAACAGCCCACACCCTGCTTGCCCCCTGTCCCTTGGGAAGGAATAGCCCCAGGGACCTACTGGTGATCCACCTACCTTTGCCATCAGACCTGAACTCTGCTTACTGATCTCCTCCCCCCATGCTCTCGTTGTAGGGCCCTAGTCTCACTTGACCCACTACAGAAGCAAAGGTTATGGCCATGCCAATGCAGCTGCCTGAGCTAAGCCCCCTCTGGGATGGCCCCTCCCCAGTGCCCCATCTTCCTCCCTGCAGGGGGTACAGGGCAGGGCTGGCACTAACCTGAAGGCCTTGGTCTCTGCCCACCTGCCTCTTCTGCTCCTCATCTGCTTTGTTCCCAATGAGGATCTTCTGGACCCCATCTGGTGCATACTAGGAGAAGGGGAAGCATGAGCCAACCTGGTGTGCACTGCCAGGACCAAGCAGTCCTGTACAGAGCTCTCCACAAACAAGCCATGGCCCCTTGTGACCATCACAGCTCTTGGTAGCAACACAGGGCTGGATGGGTAAAAGGTCTCCAAGGCCTCTCATGTGGGCACCATCAGCTGCCAGTCACCCTCTAACCCACACCCTGTGGCAGTCAGTAACAGCAGTGCCCACATAACAGGGGCCCAGGCCAGGCAGCAGGCCTGTCCTGGGGGGTTGAGGTGCCTGTGATACCAGCCCACTGGCAGGAGAGCATTTCAAGGACTGAAGTCCTTGCTGAATGGGTGTTGAATGGGACCTGAGGCCAGCACTTCCTGATGAGGCCATGGCTGCCCCATGCCCATGTGAGCCAGCTCCTTGCCAGGAACTAACTAAGCCCCAGCCCCCCATGCTTCAGGCATTGCTCCAGAACCCCTTCACTACTGTTGCAGACAGAATGTTTCCCCTGACATCCATTCTCTATCTTCTTTGCTCAAAATGTGGTAGGTCTCTTTCTATCAATCCCCCCAAGGACATGGAAGCCAATCAATCCCTGCCTAGCCCATACTTCCCAGACAGGGGTTATCGCTTCCCCTCTCATATTTCTGATTTCTAAATGGAATAAAAACTCAGTTCCTTCTACCTCTCTTCAAAGGCCATGTGTTCTCCAAGTCTGGTCTTGTTCTTGTTGGTCCCATCTGGACTGGAGCTGTACATGTCTGACAGTGCTGTGCCTCAGCCTGGACCTGATACCCCAGCTGAGCAGATCATCATCTCCTGTGCAGATGTAGAACCAGCCCAGCATCACGCCAGCATGAGGTGCACCACTGTCATGCTGCTTACTCATGGGCAGCCATGTTCCCCATGCCCTGGGCCTGCCCTGATGCACTGCTGCCCAGCCAGAAGTCCCTATTCCAGCTTAGTGTTTTCTCCCTGTTCTGTACAGCCTTTGCACCTTTACTTACTGCATTTCACCTTGTGGATTTCAGCCTTCATCACCAGTGGGCCAGATGCCCCCTGCTGCCCACACCTGCTACTGCATGTCCCATAGAGCATCCCTTTCCAGCAACATGATCACAGCTCCATCTACCCCTTTCACAGGGTTTGGCTAGTCTGTTTGCTCCTAGTTTTGCTTCTGAGCTTGGTCAAGAGCAGCTGGATGCCATGATGGCTAATGTGTCTCCCTGCTTAGGGCTCAGCTAGGCTTGGCACATATATAGCTGCCAGTATAGCCCTGAGCTGCCTGCTCTTCTGGGGTAGGTATGCACAAGACTAAATTCCTCCCAGCTCAATGCCCCGACAAGACAGCTAGGGGCCAACAAGGCAGCTAAGACAGTGTAGTGCCACCTACCTCATCCACATCGCTGGCCCACTTCATTATGTGCTGGTAGGAACGTTCACTGCTGATGTCGTAGACCAAGAATATCCCCTACAAAGAGAACCAAGGCACAAATGGGATGGGAGGAAGCCATCATGGTGGAGACTCAGCCATGGTGCATGGGTGTATCCTTCACATATGCAACTCACTGCTGTCCTCTCCCTCACCTGCCTTGGAGCTCAAGGCCACTATCATCCCAGTGACGGGCCCTCTGGTCCCCCAACACAGGGCAGGATTGCCCTTAGTGCAACTGTAACAGGAAACCCTTGCCCTGTTACTGCAGGAAGGCTATGGGGTTAGCAGGGCCATTTAAGAGCTTGGTCTTTGTGGCCCTGGGAGAAGGCAGTTGCAACAGCCAGTAGGTCTGCCCTGGAGAGTGGCTGCATGCTGTGGAGATAGCAGCCAAAGGGCAGGAAGCTGGCAGGGCTGAGGGTAATGAGCAACCTCTGTCCTTAAGCCAGGCAACAAGCAAGCCTGACTGGAAGGGGAGGGGTCAGAGGAGTAAATAGGCTCACCCTCAGGCTGGAGGGGCATTCTAGCCCTGGTGGAGGAAGAGGCAGAACTCTCAGGTGAGCCACGGGGGTGCCCAGAAACAACAAGGGGACCCCTGGGGACTAAGGCCAGAGAGCTTTGTTTTTTTTTCCTTTTGCTGTTTCCTTTTACCCAGCCACAGGACCCAGGAGGGATAAAGGATTTCACTTCACTATGGGTTGGTTTGAAAGTGCCTGAAAGGGTGGTTATTTTAGTTCAGAGCAGTTGCATACATTTTTTGTTTCGGTTTTACCAGAGGATCGGGAACAACTTTGAGGAGAGATGGAGGGCACATTGCAAGTGCCTTAAAACACCTTATAAAAGATTCACCTTCACCCCTTGTTGGTGAAGGGGGTCATGCACATATGGGATTTAACCCCTTCAAGGCTGGAAGACCAGGAGGGCCCAGAGCCCTGGCCATGAGGCTTAATTCCCAGCTGTGTTGCTGCTACCAAGGAGCCAAGGTTGGACTAAGTAGGTCTATGGCTGCAGGTAGCAGTTAGAGCAAGCAGGCTCAGGCCAAGAGGGTCAGGGCCTGCACAAGTATAAAAAGGGTGGAGCCAAGAGAAACCCCACTCTACGACTCATAATGCCTTCTGCATAATAGGTTGTTCCATCAAGGTGTGGCAGATGAGATATAGGGTGACAGTTTGGAAGAGCAGGGGGGAGGGAAGGGGCAGGGGGCAAGCTAGCTGGATGCTGAGTGTTACGGCCTCCTAGCAGGGCTAGTCCTGCCACAGTGGCCCAGTAGAAACAGCACTGGTCTGGCACTCGGGACACCTGGGTTTTCTTCTCGGCTCTGCTGGGTGACTATGGCCCCTTCCCCTCCCACTGTCTCTTCTGTTTGGCCTCCAGGGTTTGTCTCTCATTGTGCATCATTCAGCACAGTGCCCAGCATGACAGGGCTAAGGCCTCCTGATACAGTCAGCCAGCAGAGACATCTAGACAAGCCAGCTCCAGGGGTTGGGGGAGAAGACTCCTGCCTGTAACCACGGATACAGGAGCAGGGCTTGCTGTCACTTGAGGCCCCTCCTGATTCTCACTGCTCACGTTAAGCCCACTCTCAAGATGCCCTCAGACTCCATCACGGTGGATTTTACCATCTTCTCTTCAAAGGGCCAAAATGCAGAACAGGAAGGGCATTGTGGGGTGTCACACCTTCCCCTCCATATCAGGCCCACACCTGGTCTGGATGCATCAGAAGGGCTAGGCTACTTCAGGTCAAGCAACAGTGCCCCCTTTTTTTTGCTCTTGGCTGACACTGCTGGTGACCAAGGCCCCAAACTCCTAGCAGGCCACATTACCTGGGCTCTCCTGTAGTACTGCTTCGTTATCGTCTGGTACCTCTCCTGGCCAGCTGTGTCCCTGCAGCAGAGCAGAGATGGGATCAGACTGGGGGCACTCCCTGGATGATGGCAGATACATAGTGCCTGCTGCTGCATGTGGGTGGGAATGTGGGCCATGGGACAGCCATGTAGAGCAGGGGTTAAAGCTGCCCCTGCACTGAGGCTGCCTCCTTCAGTCCCTTCAGGGCTACAGGACCTCAGCTCCCACCCAGACTGGTGTACAAGGGGCTGACCTGCCTCTGACCACAGGGACAGGCTGGTAAACAGAGAAGGGGGACCCAGTAGGTTGATCTGGGGGATGTAGCTAGGGAGTCCAGCAATGCTCTTTTTCAATGGCACAACAGTGGGCGTACCAGGACAGTAGCCCTGGGTGCCGACTCTGTGAGGGAGCACAAAAGTGGTCACTGCTGCAGTGGTGGCTGGGCATGTCACTGTGATTAGCATGACAGGAGTGGGCACTGCCCCAGGTGTTGATCTGCCCTGCTACACCTCTACAATTTGTTCCTGACAAGAGCAGAATTAAGGGGAGGGAGCAAAAGAGTTTTCTATACAGAGCAGGAGGCAGGGAACCAGGGAGAGGGGGAGCTGCCTATTGAGCTTCAGAAGGGGCTGGGGAAAGGTCCACATGGGAAATGGGTTGTTTAGGGGTGGTGGGGCAAAAAGCTTTCCCTGGGAAGGAAAATCTCATGGACATCCCTAGGCTCACTATTATTCTGGGCATCAGCAGTCATGAAAATGTCATTAAGGGGTTAAATGGTATGGCTTGCCCCAAATAGCCATGGGTAGATGTACAAGTCAAATGTGACATGCACCAGGGAAAACCCCTCTTCAGTGGGTGTAGAAGATCAGTGGGATGTAGAACCTGGGTTAGAGGAACCGACCTGCCCTGCCACCAAAGGCTCCCCACTGTGCTCCAGGTGCCACTGGCTGCTGTTCCTCCTTGCTGCCATAAGGTGACAGACCAGTTCCCACAAAGACTCAGGCAAACTCTATTGCCCTCTCTCCACTGAGGCGCCCCAGGCAGAGCTGCAGCTATGTGCCCTCCCCTGCCCCCCACAGCAGAGCTGGGCCAGAAGACTGCTGCAGAAAGGAAATTCACCACAGTCCTGTGGGTTCAGCCATCCCATAATGTACTGATTTGGGGCTAAATACACTGAATAGTTTTAGTTGAGAAAAAAAATATATATCCCAGGGAGAATTCATGCAAGTGGAAGAAATGAAGGTGGAGGTGCTGGCAGCTCCTCACCCTGCCAGGGTGCGAAGATCTAAGTCCACTCCACCCCAGCAGCTTTGAACCTACTCCTCCCTATCCATGGAAAGCGTCTTTAGCCCCAGAACACCTTCTCGCCTGGGGTTTGGTGCTCTGCATCTCTTTGGTTGGCAGTGTCCTGCTTTGCCCCTGAGAGGGACTACAGGGTATTGCTGGGTGAGGTAAATGGCCTTTCTAGTGCCAGAACCAACCTCTGACAGAGGCAGGTATGAAACCCATGGACATACACACAGGAGTCTGCCTCAGGAGGGAGGAAGGGAGGCAGGCAAGGCAAGGCAAGGCCTAGGGGGTACGAATCAGGACAACCACACCAGGCCCTGCACTTTGGGGGGCCCAGCAGACAGTGCCGCTCCAACCTCTTGGCCCTTCCCTCCCTCCCTCCCAGCTGCTTGCGACCCCCCTGGCCCCACACAGGGTGATATGCCCTGGGCCCTGCACACCCCTAGGGACAGTTCTGCAGGCAGCGCCTTCCTTGTCACAGCTGCACTGACTTATTTGTGACATCTGCTCTGCCTTAAGGTCCTTGATGCTTTAAATGAGACACTGCCCTGCCTCACACAATGAGGGGCTGGAAATGCCAAATAACTCAACTAGCTACATACACTGAGATGCAGCTACCTCTGGGGAAGAACACAGCTGCTGGAAGAACACAGCTGCTGGTGAATTGAGTGCAAAAATGCCAAGCAGCAGCCTAGGGAAGAAGTAGAAGAGGAAAGCTGTAACCAGCTAAAACGGGACAATAGATTCAATGAATGACTGCCCACTGAGGAACTCTTCCTTTGTCTCCTTGCTGATGCCCCTGCTGTCTTTAGCAAACTTGTCCTGCAGGTCCAGTTGGCTCTATCCCAACCCCAGACCATGATGCTGGGGCACTGGCTTAGCTTAAGAATGGCAGCTCCTCCTGGACATCACCTTGTCCTGCAGCAGCCCACAGGTCATTACACACAAGTTCTGACTCTGCTGCCTTCTTTGAGCTTGTAAGCATAGCACCTCCACCCAGGCACCTCACTTCAGCACTCACCAGATCTGTATTCGCACCTTGATTCCATCCACTTCAATAGTTTTCATCTTAAAGTCCACCCCTGGGGGGGCAAGGAGAGAGAGAGGTTATGAGGCACCAGGCTGTGGCCTTCCCTTGGCCATGGCCCTGCTCCTGAGCATGTCACAGGGGTTGTGGCACAAGATGAAAGGCATGCACAGAAGCACAAAGCCAATTAGCAGGGGCAGTGGCAAGAACCAAAATTTCTATTGACCAATATTTCCAAAATCATCCAATAGCTACAGAGACAGGAGGCAGTGCTTAGAGCAGCAGAGCAAGAGAGGACACCTAAATGGGAAAGGATGGGTTGGGCAGGTAGATCCCTGTGCCCTGGCTTCCACTCCCTACCTGCCTTGTTCACTCTATGCCCTGCCCCTGCCACTCCCTATGTTCTTAGCAATGCCCATATCCCTCAGGTTCCTTCTGTACCCCAGTGTCAGTGTCCTGCTCTTCCTTGCTTCTAGAGGCCCTTCAGATTTGTGCCAGACAAAAAACTGAGCTGAAAGGCAGCAACCCTATCTGAACAAGATACAGATCCACCTGTTCACATATCAAACCGGGGGCGGGGAGGAGGGGTCCTGGCACAGGGGTTCTGTCATGGAGGAGAGCAAGGACCCCTACACTCTCAGCACCACACAGGTATGTGCTTTAGCCAGGAATCTTTTCAACGCAGAGGAGAGCATTCACTTCAGCAGCTCTGCTAGGAACAGGGCCCACAGGCCCTGGTACAGGCAGGCTTCCTCACACCACCCATTTACAGGGCTTCTGCTGAGCCCTCCTCTGACCAATTGACTGTGCATTGGCAGCACTGGGCATTGGCAGCTTTCCAGGAATGGTGAACAGCACTTTTCCAGCTCTGACAGCCCCACTGCTATTAGGAGATATTGTGGATGCCTCTCTAATGAGCATGTCACTTGCCTTGCTACACACACCTCATCACTGCTTCATATTCTTGTGCTTCAGGGAGGAAGAGAGGCTAAAACCTTGTGGTTACTTCCAGTTATCTCAGATCACGTCAGTTCAACAAGAACTAATGCAGAAAGCATTGGGCTACAGGGTGGGATTTGGCTGGCTCAGCAACAAGCCAAACCCAAAAGCAGACACTCTCCCTAGAGCCACTGAGGCAACCACTCTAGACAAACCCTTCCATGTCCAAGGAGAGTCTGTCAGGGATTCCTCAGCCAGGGCAATTTGGCTCTTCCAGTAAGTGGGATATTTACAGACAGTATTTCTAGGGGCATGGTGTTAACCAATAAGAGCAGATGGGGGTGGGGAACAGAACCAAGAATCTTCATCCTGCAAGGCACTGCAGGAAGGAGGATGAGAGTCTGGTTCTTTTCCTAGATCATGCAAACTTATTTTCCCTGAAAACATATGGAAGAGGGCAATACTTGCCTTACTTACAAAGGAAAGAATAAAAGACCTATGAAGTAACACGGGCTATGAAGTCCATACAAGGCAGTGAATCAAACTCACAACATCCTGGCTCTCAGCATAGTACACTTTCCCTAAGCTAGAGAATATCTGATGTAGGTGAGAGCACAATCAGGCTAGTGCGACTAGCTTGATGGTTTGGGAGCATATACTGGGCCCCTGGAACAGAGGCAGAATGGGCACCTGTGCAAATTCCCACAGTTCTGCAAAGTGGCCAAATCAGGATGGCTTTCCAAAGGCAGCAAAAGGAACTGTTCCAATCTCAAGACTAAAAAAGGGAGAGCTTCTGCTCCAAGGGGCAACAGTGTGACAGCTAGGAAGAGGTTACCCTATTCCTGTTCAGCTTTGTTCCAAAAACAAATTCCTTATAGTGCAGTTCAGCTGGCAGCAAAGACAGAACACTACACCTACCCACCTGGAGAAGAACAGCTTGGAGAAGTCACACAGCATGGAAAAACAGAAGGGGAGAACAGATCTGTTTGGTGGCCTGAATGGCAGGCCCTGATACCCATGCATCTTACGATGACTAGATCTGTGTTAGTGCTTGCACTATGACACCAGAGAGCAGCCGCTCTGTTGTTAACTCCATGTCTTTGACCTCCTGACATGCTACTTTCCTCCACACACTCCTTAGTGCAGCTGCATTTGGTAATGGGTATCTCTGCACTTGACTTGCCTACTTTCCTGGAGCCACCATCCCCCGTTCCCCAAGAGCCAGCTCTTTGTGACTGCAACAGCTCCCTTACTTGGTGCACTACAGTGAGCAGCCAAAAGTGAAGACTGCGTGCATACCATGGCCTAGACCACACAAGGCATCGGTCAGATCCAGATTTTAAGGCTGATATTGCACAGGGAACTCAGGTATTGACACTACAGCTCCTGGCTGAGCTAGGGCACCCCTTGGTAGCAGGCATAGCACATCATCATTGGCAGCCATCAGTCTCAGGAGACCATGGAGATTGTGGGTTTTGTGGGTTACCAGATACCACCACAACTTCTTGAGTGGCTGAGGAGTCCAATGCATGACAAGCAGACCTTCCAACAAGCTACACATACAAACTCAGTTGAGCTTGCACTGGCATGCTGAGTACCATTTTGTCTTGCCTGCCTCTGGTGCATCTTCTCTAGCTTATCATTGACCCTCTCCATCTTGAAGTGATGTAGATCATTCTTCACAGCAGCTTTCCACTCTCAGTGGTCCGAAGCAATTGATTCCCAGCACTTGCCATCAACATGCAGCTCATGAAGGTTTTTCTTGCAGACATCAACAAAATAGAGTTTGGGCCATCCAAGTTGATATTTGTCAGTGGCCAGCTCACCATGGAGTATGTCCTTGGGGATTTGGCCATCACTCATATGATTCTTGTGTCCTAACCAACTGAGGCATCTGTGTCTCAGAAGCACGAACATACTGGGTATCTCAGCCCATTCCAGAACAGCAAAGTTGGGGATTTTGTCACACCATGTTATACCCATGATACGACAGAGACATTGAAGATAGAAACTGTTCAGTTTTCTTTCTTCCTTGGCATAAGGAGTCCATGTTTCACTGCCATACAATAGAGAGCTCAGTATGCAAGCACCGTAGATGGACATCTTTGTTGACAGAGTGAGAGCTCTGTTTTCCCAACTCTCTTTTGAAATTTAGCCATGGTGTTGCTTGCCTTTCCAATGTAAGCGTTAATTTCAGCTTCCAAGCCAAGATCTTGCAAAATAGTGGAATCCAAGTAAGTGAATTTTTCAACCACTTCCAGACTTTCATAATTTATTCTAACTTCAGGAGGGTGGTCAACTTGTTGACCCATGACTACTGTCTTCTTTAGGCTAACGGTCAGACTGAAATAGTCACAAGCAAGAGAAAGGTGATCCATGAGACTCTGCAGCCCTGCTTCTGAATGAACAATTGCTGCATTATTAGCAAAAAGCATTTCACAGACAAGAACTTCTGGCATTTTCATTTTCACTTTCAGATGAGTAAGGTTAAAGTGTTTCCATTTGGATCTGGTCTGTAGGTATACTTCTTCCAAACAGCTGTTGAATACATATTTGAGGAGGACACTGAAAAAAAATCCCAAAAAAGTGTTGGAGCTAGGACATAGGCCTGTTTGGTACCACTCTTAATTTCAAATTCTTCTGAATGTGACCCAAACTGCACCGTTCCATGGCTACCGATGTGGAAGGAGCTCCTTGATACTCAGGAGCTTAGGATGGCAGCCAATCTTCTTCAGGATTCAGAACAAGCCATCTCTGCTGACAAGATCAAAAGCTTTGGTGAGATCAAATACTATGGACAAAGATTTCTTTTGTTCATGGCACTTCTTGTAGCTGTCTCAAGAAGAATATGATATCTGTCACAGAACTACTGGCTCTAAAACCACACTGAGACTCAGGGTAGACTTTGTCCACAAGGGTCTGCAGTCTTAGCAGAATAACTTTGGTGAACAGCTTCCCCATGATGCAAAGTAAAGGATATGTCTGGCCCGCTGAGCAATCCTTGCAAAGCCAGCAGATCACGGCGCTTCAGGGAGCCCACCCCTGCCCCAGCCCTGGTAAAATCTGTGTGCAAGGAAGGAGCCCC